ATATATAGTCGTTGAGCCGCCACCCAGGGCGTCCGCGCGAACGAAGCGGTTACCGCGCGGCCGCTCCGTCATTAAGGCCCAAGCCCCCATCCCGTGCGGCCCATCCCATCCACGACCCGTTTCGAGAAAACTGCGGCGCGCGGCGCTGTCCGGCCGCGGCGCAACTACTCGCGCGCGGCGCCCGCGGCGGCCATCCCGACAGGCGCCGCCTGGCGCCGCCGAGGAGAGCTCTGCCCTGCGTCGTGTCTCAACCTCCTCCGCCTGCTGCGGAAGACAGATGATCCATTCCCATTCGGCGCAACCCCTGCCGCGCCGCGGCACATCGTTGTTGCTGTTGTATTCGGTGCACGCCGCGGCCACGTCACGCGCCCAGCACCCCCCGTCACTCCCGCACCTTCCGTCACACGCAACGCCATGACCCGCATATTATTGGAACTAGAGCAGTATGACATGCGCGCGCACACATGAAATCAATTTAGATCGATTTTGATGCTCATCTTGACATGTCGCACATTGAGTAAATGCAAAATTCCCGACAACTGTAACGAATGCGCAGAAACTCAGGGTACATGAGCTGCTTACCCGCGTACCTAAGGATTTTAATTTGCCATAACAGCAGTTTCAGGAAATTTTTAAGTTTTTTTTTTTTGAATGTCTGAATACTTTTTTAAAAGTTACTGTTTTCAGAAAACTTTAAAAAATTCTGGGTTTTCCAAGATTTTTCCTGGAAAGTTTTTTCCATTTTTTTCGGAAATATTTCGGGGCTCAAAATCCCCCACACGTACTGTCGAAATGTGCTCTGCAGCTGTGACTCGCCCGGTAGAGCTCGACAACAGCTGTTGTATCACGCGCCTAGGTAGCCGGGGCCGCGGGGCGGCCGCGGCGTCGTCGCCGGACCGAACGCCTCTTTGGCCGGTTAAACGATGAATCGAAACAAGTGCCATTCATTGGGGTCCCGGCCGAGCCTGCAAAGCGTTTCCCTCGTTAAGATACGGATCGGCAAGCACGTTTGAGCTGCCGAGTGAATTGTTTCCGAGATCCCCGAGATTTGGATTAATCCACGCGGGATAGAAGTGATCCCGGAGTGGGATAGCTGGGCGGGCTCTCGGGGGGGGGGGACTGCCGGCGTCTCCCAGGCGCGCGGGGCGCAGTGAAACTGGCAGACGGAGAACTCACAGCACGATGCGATGGGGGGAAAAAAGTGTGGAGGGATAAGGGGAAGAAATGCTGCGTGTTACAGCATTTCGTGAAAGGAAAGAGAAGAGCACCGTGTTTATCTTTTTACAGAGAACAACAAAACTGATGATTCTTTACAACCCAATTTTATTTATTTTCCCTTCACGCCTCGAGTAATTCTGGGGTGAATAGTGTTTGCTGTTGCCCAACAGGGGCGACTTCTTTGTGAAGCAGGAGTCATCATCCCATGCATTTACCCCTACATACAAATACTCGCACACCTCCAACTAGTATAGCTAGAGGTGTAACCTGAGGTGGAGCCCCAGGCCCTCTGAACACGGCTTGTTCGGTCGTCTCGTTGACTTGTAAAGGACTCTCCCTCTCTCTCTCCCTCTCCCTCCCCCTATCTCTCCACGTGGAGAGGAGAGTGCAATCCTCTCGCCGCTAAACCGGTATCGATTCCGATAAACATTGAATAACAGACACACACACGCGCGCGCAATTGCAGCGCTTTGACGCTCGGAGCGTCGCGCCTGGCAAGGAGCCCTTCCTGATTGACTCTAGTCAGGCGCTCGCTGGCAGCGGAACATGCAGGGGTATTAGTATAGTACTTTGTCCGCGCAATGCACATGCACATGTGCATAAAGTTGTACAGGAACTGCGACTTTAGCATAATGCCAGTTAGGCGTCTGGGGTGAGGGGCCTGTTTAATCCGAGTTTCAACGGATGATGGAAGAAGCCACCCCTCGATAAAATTACCACACAGCGCATCTGCCTTCCTTCGTTGATTCATCCAAAAATTCTTCAAAACCAAACCTGAAATCTGATAAACTGCCGTGTTCCGTAGAAATGATGTATATTACATTTCCCAAAAAATATCAGGGTTTAAAAATGGGCGCACTATAAACGCCGCGATAAACGCTGTGGCCGCGCTCCTCCTCAAAATTCTGCCATGCCTTTATTCAAGTTCAATTTTTATTCAAATTTTGGCATTCTTGTCCATTGATAACCTATCCTTGCCACATGTGCGGCAACTAAAGATGTCTAAAAGAGCCCACAACTTTAGTGCAGTCTTCAAAAAGATTGCCAAAATTTGGCAGCCGAGAAGGTGGAGAAGAGAAAGAACGCACTAGGAGCGCGGTTGGACTGCACTCGACCGTTACATGATGGGTCAGTTTCGCGTGTGCGCTTTTCACTCTTACCTGTGTATGTGCGTACTTGCCGCCCCCGCCGACACACTCACCTGTCCGCCAGGCGAGTGTGAGGAGACCCCGTATAGCGCTCGCGGGGGCGTAGCGGGGCCTCTCTCCCGGCGCCGCCTGCCTAGCAGGTCCGTGTCAATTCGGGGTTCCGTATTTCTCCACCATGATGGCGCCGAGCCGAAAAAGACGAGCTTGTAGCCTGCGCCTTGGAACGGTTTGGGGGGGGGGGGGGGGGGATTTTAACCTACATCATCCACTGATTTTATGTTCCTGCTTGGATTGAGATTCAATGTTTTCAGTAAAGTTAAAATTTTCTTGCTTCGAAATGAAGAGTCCCTACGCGCCGTGCCCCCTTTCTTGTCTATGAACTCAACTTAATCGCTGTTCTCCTGTTGCAGGTCGGATCAAGGCCAACGCAGCCCTCATAGTGACGCACAACATCCCGGCCACCAACGGGGTGGTCCACGCCATCGACACGCTCCTATGATGGGGTCCTTGAGGTCCTCGACGTCCTCGGCAGGCCCCTCGTCGGGGAGCCCTCGATGTAAGAGGGCCCTCGAAGGGGGTCCTCGATAACAAGCCCTTTCGATCTACGGTATTGGAACGCCCATGCCTCACCGTTCGGGAACAACGGCGTTACACCTCTCATATAGGAATGACTTCCCAAACGATATTGAAACGATATCAAAAAGACAGTTTCCAAATTTCGTTTCGATATCGTTGTGCAAGTCATGTCGCGACTGAGCTGGAAACGCAAAAATAGGAATACAGTATAACGTCAATGAAAAGAATTACTACCTTTTTATTTTCGCATTGAGTTTGAGGGGTGTTGAAAAGAACCACCACCTCTTTTTTATATTATTTTTAATGTTTCGTTTTCATGAGGGTGAGTCGATACTCGTAACGCTGACCGCGGTGACCCCGGGCGAGCGTTACGGCCAGGGGCCCGGGCTCGGTAATGACTCGCCACCGCCATTTGAAAACCTTACTTGCGGAAACATTTTGGAAGAGGCAAAGCGGCGGCGGCAGCGGTGGCCATGGCCCAGGGACGTGACGTGCGGCCGCCCTAACAAGGGACCGTGCGGAAGCCACGTCAAGAAGGGGGGGGGGGGTAAAAATATCATGGGGTCTCTAAAGGATCAGGACGGTCATTGGAGTCCCACGGGGAGCCCATGATATTTGTACCCCGGGGTAAAAATATCATGTGGCCTCCTTTGGACTCCCCTGACCGTCCTGATCTTTTTGTAACCCCATGGGATTTGTACCCCCCTCCCAATCCACGAGGTTTCCTAGACGTCCCCTAACAAGGGCCGGCGGACACGGCGGGGCGGGGCGGGGCGCTGGACACGCTACCTCGCGGCTATGTTTTATTAGCTACCTTTGTATAAGCGGGGAGGCGGTCCGCCCGTCTGTCTGTCCGTCTGTCTGCTCCGCGCCTCGGGATGAGCCGCGTTACGTCACAAGTTTTACTGACCATCGCCTCGGCGAGCCGCATTGAGGTTGGTCAGTGTGCGTAACATGGCCACTTAAAAGTGACCGACCCGCCGCGGCGTGGTCTCCACCCGCCGCGCCCCGCCACGCCCCACCACGCTTCGGCCGTTAAGCCCGTGTCATGTGCGGCATAGGGAAATGCACCGGACCCCGCCCCATCACCCTGCTGAACTCTGTGCCGCGTCACGAATACAATCGACTCGACTCACCTCATTCATGATTTGTTATTGCCAATATTTTATAAATTGAAATCCGTAGCATATCTCAGAAGGAACAACTCTATGAATTTATTCATAAATTAGTGCATCCAAGTTAATTTTTTCTGATTTCCTGGATAGGTGAGACATAGGACGCGTCGATAAGTTTGATAAATTGAAAACAAAAAAAAATCACATCTTGTATAAGACGTTGCCTGGTCAAAATTTATTTATTTCTGTTTGTGGTGGACTGTTGTGTTAATTCCTCGGTTATAAATTTGTGATTTTTGTTAATGTAAAGATTCTTGCACTCTCTTGGTTTCTGCTCAAGCAAATAATTGTTACGTTTTGTTGTGGTGTTCAACATTAACGGGGTGTTCGACCTTGGTTTGATCGATTTTTTTGCATTCCTGTTTTGAGGGAAACTTGACTGATGTGAGTGTGAAAAAACACGAACAACATTCCATTGTATGAATGAGTAGTGAAAAAGTGTGTGTGTCTTTGTGTGATCATGTGTAAAAGGTCGTGTGTCTGTGACGTTATTCTTATTACTTCTGTCTTTTTAAAGGATATTATTGTATAAAATGTCGAGAAAACAAAATACTCGATTGCCATTTCTTTATTGTAATATACGTTAGATAAGTAGAACTTGATTTAAAACAAATTGCATCAAACAGCTGTACGTGTAAAGAACAGATTTTGGATTTAAAAAAAAAAAGGAAACAAGTATTACAGACAGGACGATTGTTTCATTGAGTCACGCTGGTCTAGACTCAGGTATCAAATGAGTTACCATAACATACATCAGTGTGTCCAGCAGCAATCAGCTGTAGCGCTTCGACGATATGTCTATAATATGTATGCCATGATGTAAATTAGTCACTGTAAAACTGGGAAAACAATTACCATCTGTAAAGTAATAATCAATCATACCATAGCAGTAAGGAAACTCGTTCCCGCCCAGTTTCAGACAGTGTTCTTAGAGATTACTTTTTTACTACCTAATGATGCCCTGCATTGTATTTATGATGATAAATAAATAAATATGTAATTTTGTACAAAACCGACTGCGTCTGATTTCTTTCGAAACACCTCATTTATTTTTAATAATTACACTGTCGATGCGCCCCCCCTTCTCCCGCCGCCCCGTCACCGCCCGTCATACGGCACATCTTGGCACGTCGGCTGCAATAAAAATGCCTGTCAGTCTAATTGTGACGAGGTGGCAGGTCCTGCAGCTGGTTACGCCCGCCGGTCGCCCCCGGCAGCGCCGACAGTCGCTCCACCCATCAGTCTTCGTACGGCCCTCCCTTCGATAGAAACGCAGACCGATCATGGCAGACCTGAACGACGGGGTAGGTTTCAGCATGTGCGCTCGTCTCGTTCGTGTCCTCCCGGTGGGAACGTTCAAAAAATTAATTGTCTGATCGGTGTGTCTTCTTATTTTGGCTTCCCTCAGGAGGACCATCTCTCCCAGGATCAGATTAACAGTGAGTCAACCAATTATCAATCTGAATTTAATTTGATTAAAATCCCTAAAGTTCACAACATGCCTCATAGGCAGCATGTCCCTCCTGAAGTGACCCCTTTTGTCCCCGCGCGTGAAACCCGCCAACTCCGGTCAGCGTGAGTCTGTCTGTTTGCCAAGTGCTGCGCAAGGCGTTCGACTCGTTCGACAAGGAGAAGAAGGGCTGCATCCACACCGACATGGTGGGCTCCATCCTCGAGCTGTTCGGCCACAAGCTGAGCGGCAAGGTCCTGAAGGACGTCATCCAGGAGGTGGACGTGGACGGTGAGCGAGAATGGCTATGGCATGGCGACAACCTTCAGATACAGCTGAAGTGAGGAAACCATGTTCCCTCCGTGCACAAGACGGTTTCTTTAGTACCAGCTTTTGCTTCTGGCACGGACTGATCTGTACTCGCCATCGCCAGTAAAATTTACAAAGTTTGTCAATAAAATTGTTTAGCCCCGATAAATACATGTTGTGCCTGTAACAAAACAAACGTTTCGTTACGACCAACCCCTTTGGTCTAGGGACTAAATGCTTAGTGCCTGGTGAGAACTATTTTGCTCAGTGCATTTCTGCCTATAATATTCGCTGGCTACGCCCGCCTATCTCCCAGGCTCCGGAGAGTTGGAGTTTGACGAGTTCTGCGTCCTGGCGGCCCGGTTCCTGGTCGAGGAGGACAAGGAGAAGATCAAAGGCGAGCTCAGGGAAGCGTTCCTGCTGTACGATCGCGAGGGGGACGGCTACATCACCACGGACCACCTTCGGGAGATCCTGTGGGAGCTGGACAACACCATCACGGCGGCCGACATGGACCAGATCATCGACGAGATCGACGCGGACGACTCGGGCACCGTCGACTTCGAGGGTGAGTCCTGGCGGAGTCCCCCCCCTCCCCCCCACACACACACATAAACACCTTTTAGAGAGTGGCTTACACTTTCATTGGCCCTCCCCCTCCTTAGGTTAAGGGTCGATGGAAAATAGATACATATTGGACGCTTCATAATAACGTCCAAATAACCTTGGAGAAATGTAATTGGCGTGTTATTTATTTATTATCAGCGCCTCCCAAGCAGTTCCAATTATAACCTCGAGTGCAAACCTCCACCACTCCGCCACTCCACCACTCCCTTAAAACTGAGAAGTTTTAAACGAAACGACCTCCAAATGTGACACCGCTACGGTTAAGACACTCTTCATCTGCCGTGTTTCAGAGTTCATCGCCGTCATGTGTGGAGAGGACTGAAGAAGTGATGAGCGCCATACAGTCAAGCACTCGTCAAGGTTTCGTCACAATCATACGGTTTCTGTTGTATAAAATGGCATTGCATTCCCAAATAAAGTAAAGAGAATTACTTTAGACTATGGCCGTGTCCTTACCTCTCTCTTCTGCACGTAAAGGGTTCGAGCATCGGCGTGCGTGGCGCCGGGAGGGCAGGCAACTCATCTGGCTCGTGAGGGGCCGCAGTCACGCTGCTGCAAGGCGCTGGCCGCAGGCCGGACTCACACTACTCGGTTTCTCAGGTGTCAGCGCACTTCGCATATGTCACCGGGTAGAGAATGATAGGTAGCGTCTGTAAAATGTTAGATCTTAATATTTGTATTTCTTAGGGCTCATCGAATAAGGCCTTATTCGATGAGCCCTAAGAAATACAAATGTTAGATCTTAATATTTGTATTTCTTAGGGCTAATCGAATAAGGGCTTTCAGCACAGCCCCCCCCCCCTTTAAAAAAATGTCAATAATTAAAAACAATCATTTTAAATAAAATGTTTATTTTTTTTGTTACCTGAAACACCCGGGGTTAGGATTTTTATGAACTCACCTTTTGTCTTTACGCTCACTAAAGAGGCTACCCGTCGTCCCTTTCCGTCGTCATTAATTGAGGACCCCCCTGTCGGTCGGTCGGGGAGGTTTGCTCTTGGCGCTCTTGACTTCGGCCGGTGCGCGGTCCACTTAGGCGGGCGATGCCCGGCGCGCCGCGGCCACGCCTGCCGCCGCCTCCTGCCCGTGAAACGTCAAGTACAGCTGATGGCGGTGCGGGACTATAAAGTGCAGAGCCGCTGCTGGTGACAGATCGGCCGCCACCCGCCCTCCTCCTCCTCCGCCTCCTCCGCCTCC